GGTGGGGAGGTTGGGGAGGGTGGAGGGGAGGAGGGGAGGAGGGCGAGAGCGAGAGCGGCAGACGAAGTGAGCGGCAAATCCGCTGCAGAGAGGGGAGAGGCAGTGAAGCGCAGAGGAGAGAGGCGAGTGTCCGCGCACCTTGCTGCGCCCTCTGCTGCGCCGCCAGCCACTGCCGCAGCGCCTCTTTGGTGCTCGACCCGCCGCCTAACAGGCCGAGGCGAGAAGGGTCGTGGAAGCGTCCGCCAGTCAGCACGGGGGAGCGCCGCATCCGTGCTCGCACCACCGCCGCCCGCCGACGGCTGCGAACCACTCGCCGAGACGGCGCCATAGCCGCCGCCGCCGTACTCGCCTCCAGCAGCAGCGTAGCCGCCCCCGCCGCCCCCGCCGCCAGCGTATCCGCCGCCTCCGCGAGAAGCTGCGGCGGAGCCAGCAGCCACCGCCTCCACGAATGCCTGCACCTCGCCCAGCGCCGATCGGCCGCGGTACGGGCGGGGCAACTCTCCAGGCCGGAGGGCGAGCATGGCGGGGCAGGCGCCGCCACCGCAAAGGACGCGGCGGAGCTCGGGGCTCTGGACCAGGTCCACCTTGCCCACCCGCACGCCCTTGCCCGTCTGTGCCTGGTTATAGTACCGCGCTGCCTGCAGCAGCGACGGCGCTGTCAGCCCGGCGCCCTGGCCGGGCTCAATGGCGAGGAGCCAGGTCACGGGCTGTGCGGCGGCGGTGGCAAAGTTCTGCGCCGTCAGCTGGTAGATTGGCGACTGGGCGAGGCAAAGTGCCGGCAGCAGTAGCGCCAAGCCGCGCATCGTGGTGAGCGCGAGCTCAGCGGAGCACTCTCGCGGGATTTCTTCTTCTGAGCTCTTGACTCCAAGTGCAAGTGCTCCAAGTCACCAAGTGCTCTTGACGTCTTTGTTAAAGTTGTTCATTTTAAGCCTCTCTCTCCTCTCACTACACAGGATGGCGGACCCGGAGGAGCAACGCAAGGAATTGGGGATTAAGATGCAACAAGGGTGCCCGATCGAGTGTAAGAGTCGCGACCCAACTCCACCTGCGCTCAAGAAGGCGGTGGCAACGCGCCCGCTCCCTGCCAGGACCCACGCGTGCAAACGTACGCCTCTCTTGCTGCCACGGACCTCGGACCTCGCGCACTCGCGCAGAGTGCATGGGAGCTCTCCGGCTGTCCTGGGTGCATCGAGGCGGCGCCTGGTCCCGGTGCCCACCGGAGCAAGGCCCTAGGCCTGTGGTTGCGGCGGCCAGGCGCGGCGATCATGCACAAGGGTTCACATGTGGGGGGAGAGTGGCGCCTCAGTAGAGGGATGTCTTCTTCATGATCCTCAGGAACTCCTCCTCGTTGATCTCGCCGTCGCCGTCCCGGTCCGCCTCGTCGATCATCTCCTGCGCGGGCGCGGCGAGGGGGCTGCTGTCGGCCACAGGGGCAGCGGCGCCGGACACGGCCCTCGGGAGGGGAGGGGCGGCAGGCGCGGGAGATCTCGGCGGTGGGCGCGCTCCTGCAGCTCCTCGTCCGTCATGTGATCTCGGGTGATCTCGGGTGATCTCGGCTATATCTCGGCGGGGAGGTGCGCCTGCAGCTCCTCGTCCGTCATGTTCTCGCCGAGCTCCTTGGCCACCCGCTTGAGGTTCGAGAACGTGATCTTGCCCTGTGGGCGGCGGGGCGGGGCGGCGCGGGGCCGGCGGGGTCGGCGGGCCCGGGAGGGCGGGGCCAGTGGCGTCGGCGAGTCTGCGGCGGCGTGGCTGTAGCGGCGTGGGTGCGGCGGCGCCGTGTCGTCGTCGTCAAAGAGGCGGAAGGCCTTGAGGATCTCTTCTCGCGAGTCCTGCAGGCAGAGAGGGCGGCTTGACATGCGCGTGGTGCGTGGGGAGAGGTGTGTGCAGCGGCGGGCGGGAGAGCGCTCTGCTGCGAGGAGAGGGAGGGAGGGAGGGGGAGGGAGGGAGGGGGAGGGGGAGGGGGGAGCCTTCTCGCCCATCTTTTGGGTCATCATCTGCAGGAACTCGTCGAACTCGATCGTCCCCGAGCCGTCCTTGTCGATCTCGTCAATCATCTTTTTGATCTCCTCCTGCAGAGGCGAGACACACGCAGAGGGCTCGAGCGACCCGCCGCTCACAGGCGGCGTCGCGGCGGCCCGGAGGGCGGAGGCGGCGGCGCGCCTTCTTCGGCTCAAAGCCGAGCGCGCGCATCGCCACCTTGAGCTCCTTGGCATCGATAGTGCCTGCCGCACCGCGCCAGCACGTCGGCCGTGCCGGGGAGGGAGGAGCGGCGAGCCCGGTGTGCGGGTGCGGTGTGACGCGGACGTGGGAGCGCGTGCGCGTGCGGCGCTCGCGGTGCCGCGCACCCGAGCCGTCGGTGTCGAACAGGTCGAATGCCTCGCGGATCTCCTGCTTCTGCTCCTCAGTCAGCTCCGACTTGCCGGGCTTGCCCTTCCCGCCCGCGTTTGGTCGCCGTGACATCGCCGCCCGTGCCTAGCGAGGGGAGAGGAGAGATCGTCGACGGTGGCCCACTGGCGGGGATGAGGCCGGCGGCGGCGGTGGGGGCAGGTGAGGCTCGAGGGCCGTTCGCGCGGCTCCGGCGCGCCTTGCCTGGTGTGCGTTCACAGCCTCGTCATTGAGAAGGAAAAGCGGCATGGCGCTGCGCTGGTCTGTGAGAGGTTGAGGTGCGAGCCCTGGAGGCCCTGGGGATGGGGGGAGACTACCCGCGGGCCTAGAAGGCCCACGCGCGGGGGGGTGGGGCATTGAGACCGGTCATGAACGAGTGCGCGACACGCATGTTGCGAGCAGCGTTGGTTGACCGTTGTTGATGTTCTGCGCGTCGCCACAGACGGCGGCGCGCGAGAGCTGTTGCGAGTGGTGCTGGACGAAGCCCCGGGCGCTGCCGGAGGCTGTGCCGTAGTCGGTGCGGTCGACGGCGCTCGGGCTGCCGAGCGCCGGCTTTGACATTTTCTACACTTTGTTTTGTTTTCAGTCTAGGGGGCCCGACCCCCTCAGAGGCGGCGGGCGGGCGCCCACTGACCCAGAAATCAAAAAAACTCGGCCCCGTCCCCGTCCTCCTCCCGCGCCATGACGGTCGCGGGGTACCACCGCTCGCTTCGCAGAAGATCTCGAGGCGCGATCCGGTGGGCAGGACAGTGTGGCCGGTGAGCGCCGCCCTGGCATCCTCGCGCTTTCGCTTCCGCCGCTTCGCCTTCGTCTCCCTGCTGCGCAGCAGGGTGTAGTTCGGGCCCACCTCCGCCACGCTGTCCAGCAGGTGGGCGGCGCTCGCCATCTCGACCGCGTCGTCCTCCGGCGGAAGCTCCGCGTCGCCCGCGGCCGCTTCCCGAGCGCCGCTCGGGGCCTGCCGACGCGCCACGCCGGCGCCCGTGCCTCGCCGCCGCGTCCCGCGACGGCATCGACGCTGTCGGCCGAGCGTGACTCGCAACTCCTCGATTTGAGCCAAAACATCATCTCTTCTGCTACCTTGGCCGGGCGTGTGCGTGGACGACCGCGCGCTTTCCTAGCGCTTTCGATCTCACCGCAGTCTCAGCCACACAGCTGCCAGACACTCATCTGTTCTTCCTCATGGGCGCGGGCTCCAGCAAGCAGCCGGAGCTTACCGAAGCTGAGAAGCGGCGAGTTTACCAGATGTCGATCTACGCCGCCATTCTTCTCGCCGCGGGCGCTTCCGCAGAGAGCCGCCGCCGCCGCCATGCGCCTCCTCCGCCGCCGCCAAAGCAGAGCAGCAGCTTCTTTGGGTGGGGCTCCGGCTGATGGCGGGCCGTGCCTGCCGTTTTGTGCACGCTGCTTCACCGGTTTTCTGCGACCAGCGTGAGGTGGCCATCAATAGTGTGCCAGTGAGCTCGCCCGGGCGCGTTGCCTGAGTTGTCCTGGTGGACATGCCGTACGCTGTGACACTCTCGCTCCTCTCTGTCAACGTGCCGTTCCGGCATTCCATGCGCCGCTGCGCGCGCGCGGTGACCCCTTCCAGTGTCTGAGACTCGGCGGAGCCAGAGCTCTAGGGCGGCCTGGGTCCTCGGTATGTGTCAAACTTGATCCCTCTGACTCTGATAATAACACGCGCGCAGCCGATTGCGGCAGCAGCCGCGCCGCCGCTCCACCTCCAGCGAAAACACACGCGCCGATGGAAAAGTCCTGGAAAATCAAAAAACGCAAAACGGACCGCCCGCCGCCCCGCCCCCGGCGGCAGGCCCCCAGCCCCACACGGACACACCACACGCACACACCCCGGTCGGTGCGGTCGCGGCGCGTCGGAGGAAGCGAGAGTAGAGAGCCGAGACAGAGTCTCGTGACTCAAAAGGAGAAATGTAAGAAGATCCTTGCGTGCGCATTCAATCGTCGTGACGCCACCCTTCCCCCTGGCTCCGGCTCAGGTCTTAGGGCCCAGCGACTCGTCGGTTGGGTGTAAACGGGCATCCCCGAGTGGCTTCAAACCAAACAGGGTGTGAATAGAGCTGTCTTGATGGTGCTGAGGACGAAGCCACCTCAAACTTTGATGAAGCCGCGAGTTTTTATAGTTTTCATTAGCTGTGAATAGTTATTGCGCCCGCCGCAGCCCGCCCTATTCCACTGGGCACGCGCCACGAGAGCCCTGGAAGAGCCCAGCTGGCATGTTCTATCGCCCGGGTGGCGGGCTGTCTGCATACAGACGTCTCGTCGCCATGGCTGACGCACGACTGGTCCGACGTGCGGTGGGAGTTTGACCTCAGACAGGCCGTCGGTGTCGGCGGGCTGACGGCGGCCGCCGGAATCGCAATTCGCTCTGCCAGCTGCCAGCAGCCTCGTGTCGCGGCTCTCACAGGTGCAGCTGCCAGCAGCCTCGTGTCGCGGCTCTCAGCGGTGGTGATTGGTCTTTGCGCCGTCGCTCGACGGCGTCACCACCCATCCGATCTGCGCAGCTCCTGCAGCTCCTGCAGCTCCTGCTGTCAGTCTTCTACTCTCACTCGCCGCGCGCGGATTGTGCGCCGCACCAGCAGGACACATGCTCATGCAAACAGTGCGAGAACTTGGTTGCGCCGCTTAGTGGCGGCGCTGCTTTAGAGGAAGCGGCAGCGTGGGAAGCACAGCAGATGGAGGCGGCGCGGCATGCCAAGGAGCTGCAATCGCAGTACTGGGGGCGGCAGCGCCAGCAACGAGCAAGGAGAGACTGGCGGAGGTTGAGCGGCTGAGTGCAGCAAGGGCCAAGGGCAAGAAAAAGGAATGTGGGCGTGGGCGATACGGGCGCCGCTAGGCTCAACGAGGAGATGCTGTGCAGTTAGAGAGCTCGTAGCGAGCTCGATTTTGGATGAGAATTTAGATGAGAAATCCCTCAATTTTGAGAAAAAACGCCAAAAAATCGGCGCCTGCGGCGCCGGCGGGCCAGCCTCCGGCGGCGCCTGCGGCGGGCCGCTGGGGCTTCCTCCCCAGACCCCGTTTACACCCGAGCTATGCCCCACGACCTGAGCCGGAGCCCCTGGCGCACAGTCATGAGTCCACCTGGCGCACATGGACTCAAGACCCGTTTTGAACTACAGTCGCGCAAAAGTCCTTGCGAGGGGGGTTCGTGCTGCGGCGTAAACGCCCCGCTCAATCGAGGGTCTTGTAGATGGAGGTGATGAGCATCGGGAGCGCAATGTACCTCGTGAGGGCTCCGATGGGGAAGATGGGGAGACCGAAAATGCGGCTCCAGGTGTAGACAACCTGGCCGAGGAGCGCAATCACACCACCGTAGGAGCACTCGACGCCTTTCGCGGACAGGTAGAGGAGCGCAGCCAAAAACGGTCCCGAGTACTCTGCCTCGTTCAGCTCTGCGTCGGGGTTGGACATGGCTGTGAAGTGCTTATCATACTCATCATCGGAGCCTGTGCATGTGTGCCCCCGCGGCCATGTCACACGTCCTTCCTAGGCACGTTGCAAAATCTAGTATGAACGCACGCGCTTTCGATGCGTTTGCGCCCTCGTCGGTGCCAATCTTGCCGGAGATGCGGATGCCGAACGACATGTACAGCTTCGCGACATATGTGTTGGCGAGGATCCCGCACGCAAGCACGCCCGGGCGGAGCGCGGAAGCCATCTTTTGAAACGCGAAGCAAAGCAGATATGGAAGCCTGAGTGCCGCAGCGCAAGCGGTCCGAAAGGGGCCGACGCTTCGGCCGCCGCGCTTCTTTTTTCAATGTTTCTGCTCTCCAACATTCCAATGGGAGGCCTCTCCACAGGGTTTTTGCGATGTGCGAAGGATCGAAAAGAAAGAAAGAAAACAGACAACCCAAGGGAGGGATGGGAGGACGGCACGCCGCCACCACACAGGGATTTTAAGGAGAGGAGTGTGATGCGCTAGCCGTCGCCCACCCTAGGGGGTCTGCCTCTTCCTATCTCTTTTCGCAGTCTCTCGCCGATTCTCGCTGCAACCTTCATGCCACCTCGCGGCCGTCCCACTCTCGTCGTTCTCTCCCTTGTCACTTCCTCCTCTGTCGCGTCATTCTCTTCTGCCTCGTCCTGCGCCGCCGCCGCCTGCCGTTCCCTTGTTCTCTCGGCTTCTTTCGCCTTTCGGCGCAGCTCCGCCCTCCTTGCTGCATATCCTGGCCCCTCGAGTCTATCGAGCTCCCCTCGCGCAAGGACCACATTTCTGACTCCCACTCCGATCATTTGCCTCCAGGTCATGTTGTTGCTCAGGTCCACTCTCTCTTCGAACACTCGTGCCTCTACGGATGATGCCGGCGCTGGGGTCCCCTTCGGATGCATCGTGACATCTGACAACTGAATTTCCACTGGTTCGTCCTCCTCGGAGTCATCTTCCCCGTCCTCCTTCCGTTCGGCTCTTCGCTCGGTACGTTCGGTGTGGCTCACCCTCCATGCCGTGAACAGGCGCTTTATCCACCCTATATTCTTCTCTCGTTCCTCTGCCCGTGCCTTGGTCTTGTCGTTGTTTCGCACCCATGTCTGTATGGCAATCGAGGCTGCCTTCCCCACTACCTGTAGTTCACTCGTCACCTCTCCCGCGAGCTCCCTTCTCTTTCTTTCGGGTATGGAGTCCGTGAGTGCGGGTAGCGTGCAGGCAATCACGGGCGCTATTTTGTCGTACTCCTCTTCGGCGAGCGCTCCAAATCTAGACCCTTTCGCCTTTAAGGAGGCTGCCCTCGCTCGTCTCAGGAATGTGGCGGTGTCTTTTGAGTCCGGCGCCTCCCGTTCAACTCTTGCTGTCGCCCTCGCTGTGTGTTTGTCGAGCTTCCGCATGAAGTGACGCGCCTCTTCCTTATTTCCAGCGCAGCTGCCGCTCAGTATGTGCGCCAACGACGCCTGTGGTGGCTCACTGTCTTCTTGTTTCCAGTCGTCCCAGTCTCCCAGTTCCCCGCGTCTCCTCCTTGCCTCGCGCGCCTCTTTTGCGACCTCATCCCTAGCCGCTTTGCACGCTCTGCATCCCCAGAACGCACTTCTCGTGGCGGGGCCCCTCATTCCCCGCTTCTTTTCCCCCTCTAAAATACGCCTGTGGTGCGCCCCATGTGGCACCCCGACCTGTTGTCTCACCCTGGCCCCCAAGATCGTTTTGGTCGTCACATTGTGATCCCCGACGTCGTCGAATGTCGCCCGCCTATCCTTCCCCCCGTTCTCGTCTGGTAATCTCATCTTATTATCCCATCGATGTTTGAGGCTGGCTACCGCCACTTCGCTCCACAACCGTCCCGCCACCCCTGCCGTGTGCGATCCCGGCCTCACTGTCTTTCGATATTGCTCGCACACCCATTCGTGCGCGCTCTTACACATGTGTCCGTACGTCCGCCGGTCCACTATCTCCTTCTCCTCTGTGTTCTCCGCCGCCTCCCTTCGTACCGTGTACATGCATGGCCGCGTCCGCACCGCGTCCCGCACCACTTTCGAGGCGTCCTCCGTGTCGTTATCCCCGAGGTGTGCTGTCGCCACCGCGTCGGCGTATGCGTTGCAGGCTATTCCCACGTGTGCTGGCACCCACATGAAGACCACCCCCTCTAGCTTCGATCTATAGTATGCAATCGCCTCCAGGAGACCTCCTCTCTCCCAGTCCCTCAGACCTTCTGGCATCCCTTTGCGGTGCGCGTTCTCAATTTGCTGCAGCGCGGGTTTGCAGTCGCATAGCACTAAGCACCGCCGCGATTGCGCATCGCTCGCTCTCGCCATTTTGCGTAAGTATGCGAGTATCGCGTACATCTCCGCGTCTATCGGCTCCCACATGTTCGGGAGCTTTCCTCCCCACATTCCCGCCCCAAACGCTGTCCGTATCTCCCCTTCCTCACAGGGTCCGATTCCGTTGGGATCCTTTACCTGTGCGTCTCCCGGGACGCTCTTTCCGAATCGTGTCGGTCCTTCGAACACGCCGTACGCCACCCTAGGGTTCGGCACGTACTTTCCATCCTCCGCCATTTTGTCCTCATGGTCCTTTCCTCCGTCCGTCGCCGCAAAGTGTGTGAACTGGTGTGAGACGTGCAGCGCGAGGCATGTCTGCGCTACTTTCACGTTCAGGGCTCGTCCCTTCCCCGACCGCAGCGGCTCACTGTCTTTTCCCATCTTAATTCGCTTTCCTTTGCCGTCCGTCAGCTCTCCCCCCGTCTCAAATTCGTCGTATCGGAGCAAGAAGCGCGTTAGGGGGTCCTCCTGTAGCTCCCCTACTCTGATCGCGCTCGCCCCGTGTGCGAAGGATCGGTGTCCTCCTGCGAGGCTTTCCGAATTCTTATTCTAGGCCTGTGTGGCGCTCTCCGCACGTCCGAGTCTCTGCTTCGCAACCCCGCCCGAGAACAGAGTTCGGTGAATTTCAGTCAGTTGGTGCTCAGTCATGGCCGGCCTTGAGGAATGGTACTACGAGATGCCGCTCGTGACGCGTGTCTACCTGACCGCATCGATTGTCACCACCGGCTCTTGCGCGCTTGAGTGCGCTCCTCCGTTCTCTCTCCCGTGCAGCGGCTGCCTTCCAGCCGACCGCGCTGCCACGCCCGCGCTGCAGGCTCGTCTCTCCCTTTTCGCTGTACTTCAACTTCAATCTCGTCGTCTTCAAGTTCCAGGCCGCGACCCAAGTGCTCCCGTCAGCGCCGCGCCACTAGGCAGCCGACCGCCGAGCGGTCTCGCCCTCTCGCTCTGCCCGAGCAGGTGTGGCGGCTCTTTACCAACTTCTTCTTCTTTGGTTCGATCGGTCTCGACTTTCTCTTCCACATGTTTTTCCTCGTGCGGTACTGCCGCCTGCTTGAGGAGGGCAGCTTCCGCGGCCGCACCGCAGACTTTGTCGCAATGCTGCTCTTTGGTGCGCACTCCACACTTGGCCCTCGCGCGGTCGACGGGTCCGCCCCCACTACTCGAGAGACACTCGGGCGTCAGCGGGCGGACTCGGCGCTGGCTCCCCGTGCCGTGTGCTGGCAAAGCGCGGCACTTGCGCCCTGACCCTGACCCTGACCCTGACCCTAACCTAACCTAACCCTCCCTGGCCAGGCGGAGCACTGCTCTGCGCTTGCTCGCCCTTCACCGACGTGCCGCCCTTCCTCGGCTCGGCGCTCGCATTCATGATGGTGTACGTGTGGGGCCGCCGCAACGAGCACGTGCGCATGTCCTTCCTCGGCCTCTTCCAGTTCCGGGCGCCCTACCTGCCGTGGGTGCTGCTCGGCTTCTCGGCGCGGGCCGAGCAGAGACGCGCCGAGAGGAGAGAGACGGAGAGCAGGCGAGACGAGGCTCCTTTGCGTGCGCGGGGCGCAGCGCCCCGCCGCCCGCCCCTCCCTGCACTGCGCTCCGCCAGCCCTGCGCTGCCTGGTGGCGACTGCTGGCGCGACCTCGCCGGCAGAGGAGGCCGTGGCGTCCCAACCGCCCCCCTCCCCCTCCCTCCGCCGCGGCAGGTGATGCTGGGCAACTCCCCCTCGGTCGACCTGATGGGCATCGGCGTCGGGCACATCTACTTCTTTCTGGAGGCCGTCCTGCCGCACACGCAGCCGGCCGCGCGAAGTGCGCACCTTGACGCGTCGATCTGTGAATAGGACGTGTTCCCGCACACGCCGGCGGGGCGCGGGCGGAGGGTGCTGCAGACGCCGCAGGCGCTGCACGCGCTGCTGCGACTCGTCTCGAGCCAGGACACCGACCGTTTCGGCGGCGTGGGGGAGCGGCTAGAAATTGAGCCACTAGAAGAGAGGCGTGATGAATGATCCGCGCGCGAGACGGCGGACCCCGAGGAGCTCTACCGCGCTGCGCGCTGAGCTGTGCGGGGGGACGACGCTCGGTGTGTGTGTGACGTGAATGACAATGCATTTCCATATAACGCATAATGACATATGATATTTTTTTCGAGAATCCGAGTACGTAAATCCTAAAATGTATCGCATATCGGCGGGTTTCTGAAAAAATGGGAGAGCTAAGGACTTGCCAGGTGTAGTCGTCGACGTCGTCGACTCCCGTCGGATGTCGATGATGTACAATGATGACTTGCCCAGCCTGTGAGTCGGGCGTGAACAACTGTGAACCCCTGCGCGAGGGCCTTCTAGGCCCGGGGGTAGTCTCAACCCATCCCCAGGGCCTCCAGGGCTCGCACCTCAACCTCTCACAGACCAGCGCACAGCGCATAGACGTATTTTCTTCTCAATTTATGGCTGTGAACAGAGAAGGGGAGCAACGCCAACGCTGCCTTTCAGCGCGTAGTGACGTCGCCCCGTCACGCTGTGGTCTGTGATCTGCCGCTGGTGTTGTGTCAACACGTATATGCACACGCACGCCAATGCGGGTGCAGGGGAGGCCCCCGGTTCCGGTTCCGGTGGTGTCGTGGCTCCGCTGACATCGATCAACATTGACGACAAGGCTCCGGCCAAGCCACAGCTGGCTCGCATCCGCTCTTACACGATCAGACGGCAGAGTTCACATCACTGGACGCCGCCAGAGCTGTACTACAGCGGGCCACACGATGCGGCGACGCGCAACGGCTTCTTGCGCAAGGTGTACGGTATAGTGTGCGCACAAGTGCTATTCACGACAGCGGTGATGCACGCTATGATGAGGGATGGTATGGCGCGCGTGGCGGCCACGGCAGTTTCCGGCGTATGGGAGGACCGATCCTGCAGCCCACACATCTTGTGGCCAGGACATCTTACCTGCACGAGTGTTGCCATCGAACCGTTCGTGCCGTTGTTGATGCCAGCTTTTGCCGTGTCGCTCTTGCTGACCTGCTGCCTGGACGGCTTCAAGAATACATACCCGTACAACTACGTTTTGCTGGCCGGCTTCACGCTCGTCGAGGGCTTCACCGTCAGTTTCGTCTGCGTTGCGCTCGGCATTGAGAGGCCCGAGGTGGTCAACCAGACCTTCACGCTGACCGCCGCCCTCTTCGTCGGCCTCACCGCCTTCACGATGCAGTCGCGCATAAGATTCAACTTTCTTGGCGGCTTCTTGCTCTCATCGCTCCTCCTCCTCCTCGCGTGGGCAACGATCAACGCCGCCCTCGGCCTCCCCTTTGCCTCCACCGCCTTCTCCCTGCTCGGTGCCCTCCTCTTCTCGCTCTACGTAGTCTACGACACCTCCATGATCTGCCACCGGCTTGGCTACGACGACTGTGTTGTCGCCGCCATCGAGCTCCACCTCGGCGTGGTCAACCTGTTTCTGTACCATATGCGCCTGCTCTCCGACGATTCTCTCTCGAGTCTCTCCGTAGGTTGAAAGGTGAGGGAGAGGGCTGGGGTGGCGTGGTAGGGGACTGGACATGATGGTGTGCCGGTGTGTGTGCTAGTCTGCGCCAGTCCGCGCCCTTGTCGTGTCCAGTGTGCTGTAAATAAATAAATAAAACGGACACACCAAACAAGGGGTGGGAGAAGGACAGGGTCCCCACCTGCGCGAGCAGGATCTTGTAAGGACGATCAGGACCAGGGGAACGGGAGCGGGGAGCGCATCGCGCCACGGAGGGGGGCTGGGCAGGGTTCACCCACACGACAGGGTCCCAGGGATTCCCCTCTCGTATAGGACAAAGTTGCACCCGGCGGCACGGGGGCAGGCGCGGGCCTCCTACTGGTTGCGCTCTCCTAGTTCTCCTGCTACTGACAAAAGGGAAAACACAAAACTCTCTCTCAAAAGGGACAGCGACAGGTTCGCAGCACGGTGGACTCCCTATTCCACTGGCGATCTCTCTCGACTAGCGACCTTCCTCCGGCTTCTCACTGGCAGTCTCTCACTATCACGGGCACACTGACAGAGGCGGCCAAGGCTGTAGAGCTCTGCTTTTGAAGAATTCTTCTTAGGTCCGTGACACCATTTCGATAACCTAACGCCTGGAACACACCAACTCTGCGCCGCATCAGCTGACGACTATGCGAAGCGCTCCGCCGGCAATGCGCCGCCTCCCGTCTGCGTCAATCGCTGCACCAGCCATCGCGGCAGCGCTCACCAATCTGCTGCTCGCCGTGAGTACTGCCGACCAGTCTGCCAGTTCGGCAGCCGTTCTCGACTGGCTCTGCCCATCCGCCGCCTTGCTGGCCGCCTCACAGGCAACCAAGAGCAACGGGCGGACGACCGCGGCATCGCGCAGCGCCGTTCGCGACGCAGAGAGCTTGGCGCTTTCGGTTCCTGTGTCAATCACAGCCAATGGGCTTGCGCTTGGCGCCACAAGCCTCGCGTCCGCAGCCGGCGCCTCGAGCAACATCCACCTGCTGTGCTGGGGTCTCACCTGGTGCGGCGTGACCCCCGCCATGCTCCTCGGGCGAGCCGCCTTTGCATCCGACTCATACCGCTACCTCGACCCGGCTGCCGACCATCGGCTCTGGTCGGCACCGGGCAGGATGCTGCACCAAGCGCCGTCCTCGTGTAGCCGCGGACGCGTTGAGGTGTGGGAGCATCGGGAGGGCTGGCGCACGCTGCGATTCGCCCCAGACGGCGGCACGGCCTCCGTCCAGTCCTTGCACCGCTGCTTGCCCGGCGGGGCTTGCGACCCGCAGGCGCAGCGGCAGAGAGACATGCAGAGGCCAAGGCCGCCTATCTCTCATGCGACACAGTCCGCGGGCCGTATCTGATCTAGGCGATCGCCAACGAGTACCTGAAGGTCATGGCCGCGGCCTCGATCTCAGCCCTCGGCGAACGGTGTGTGGGCGTCAAAGACGTGCAGACCACCCCCTGATAAGAACAGAGACGGAGATGGTTCCAACGCTGGACTGTAGGAGGCGGCGGCTGCGCTCCATACCAGCAAACGCGCATCGGCTGCCCGCAGAGCCGATACCCGCAATGCCGCCGCACCCACACTCTCGGCCCTCCTGGAGGATAGGCGCACCCGCCTCGAGTGCTCCTTCTCGGCCTTGGCGGCGGCACGCTCTTGGCTCTGCTCGCGTCTCTGTATCGCGGCGCCGAGTTCAGAGCAGTCGAGCTCGACGCGGCCGTGCTCGAGGCGGCCAAGCGGTACCTTGGACTTTCCGAGGCCGTCGTATCCCCCGCCTCGCTGACCTGTGGCGACGCGGTGGAGTTTGTCCGGCATCGGGCGGAGGTGCGAGGCGCGCCCGAAAAGTTTCCGAGAAGGTTCCGAGAAGGTTCCGACGACAAGGCGCGCCACGACCGGCAGCCGTATGACGTGATCCTCGTGGACGCGTTTGGGAGCGACAACGTGAGAGCTGATGCACACGCACACCACTGCACGCATTCACCACAACCACTGCCACGGCGAGCATCCGGCGTGTGGTGAGACAGCGCTGTGACGCCACCGCGGTGATTAGGCGACGCCGCCAGCCTTCTACGGCGATGCCTTCCTGCGCGACTGCCGCGCGCTGCTCGCCCCGGGCGGCACACTGGTACACAACTTCCACACTGGGAGCGCTGCCCTGGACACCGCCTTTGCCGCGGCGACAGCCAGCTACAAGCGCGCCTTTGCGGGGCGCGCTGCCGCAGTCCCGGTGTCAGGCCAGGGCAACACGATTCTGGTCGCGAGCGCGGCTCCGAGCGACACGCCGCTCGCCGCCGACGCGCAGGCGTCGGCCGCAGCAGAGGCGGAGGTAGTGGGACTCGCCACGTTCGACGCCGCCGCGCGGCTGGCCCGGCTGCGGCGACTCTAGTCCTACTCGGGGGCGCGTGCTGCCGCGTGCACCACGCTGAGCTCCCCGATCGCTGGGCGTGGGAGCTGCATGACTGCTCTCTGCGCTGCGATTTCACTGTTCGCTGCGCCGTGCGTCTCTGTCTGTGGGACCGTGTGGCGCAGCTTGGGTGTCTCTCCTCGCGTTTGGGAGCCAGCCCACTCCCTAGCCCTTCATGTCTCTCTGCAGGGTCACTGGGGTGGTGCGACCGACACTATTGCAACCGACACGACCCGCTTCTGCGCCTCCTGGTCCTGCCTGCCGAACGCCGTACCTTTTCTCCGACCGCCCGCGCCGCAAGCTGCCTCTGCCTTCACGCTACCTCTCGGCGGCCCTCTCTTTAGCCTCTGGCTCTGCGCCGCTCCTCACTTACGTGCAGCACGTAGATAGATAGATTGGAAGGCGCCTAGGCGCGCCGCCAGACGCAGTCGACCTCTTCGCGCAAGCTGCTTCGCTTCAACCCGGCCAGGCGGCCGGACGTGCGCGCCTGCCTCCGCCACGCGTGGATGGCCGACTTCACCACCGGCGACGAGCAGACCTGCCCCGCGGCGCTCCAGGTGCCTATCGACGACGACACAAAGTTCTCCGTGTCCGATTACCGCGACCGCCTCTACAAGGACGTCGTCGCGCGGCGCAAGGACCGCGCCGCCCGGATGGCCGCCTACTTCCCCAAGGCGAGGGACAGCGCGAGCGCCTCGCGCGCGTCCACGGCGGAGCCGGGCCCGAAAAGCGCGCGCTGAGTGGGGCCCCCATTTGCCTCCCTCCCTCTCCGCCCTCCTCCGCTCCTCCGCTCCTCCGCTGGGCCGCGGAGCTCTCGGGCCCCGCACGGGCATCGCGTCGCGTCTCTACGGTGGGTCCGGGACCCGCACGGCCTCTCCGCCCCTCCCCTACGCTCACCGGCGCTGGCATGACGCCGCCGATACGTACCGCGGTCTCTCGCGATCTGTTCTCCGTATGTCTGTCCACTGTCTCGCACACACGCCGGACATCACCGGCACCGCCCTGTCTGCGTCTCATGTGTGGAGATCTCTTCACTGTGTGTGTCGCGGTCTGGCATCCTGTCGAGTGTTTTATGTGTAAAATGTACTTGCCTCCCAGCTCTCCATCACAGCACACTCAACAACCCTCTGGTTTTGCTTTTGGCTGGCGCCCTGGGCCCCTGTCTGTGCGCTGCGGCTCCTGCCCCGGCTCTTGCGCTTTCGCACAGAGCCGGGCAGCGGCTTCCTAAACCATTCCGACTCGGTGCCATTTTCCTACACGTATGGTGATTGCATCTGCGGCCCGCCGGCCTCAACGCAATGCGCGTGCGGTGGCGACCCCGAGCAGCAGGCCCAGCGCCACGCCTCCGAACCACGTCGAGGCGGCCGACTCCAGCCTGCTCCTCGCCATCGCCAGGCCCGAAGCGGCATGGAGCTCGCGGAGGCGGTCCATCGACGCCTCGGTTTTCGCCGCCGGCCCACCAAAGGTCTCCTCTCGCCCGCAGTTCGAGGGCGAGAAGGCTGGCAAGCAGATTGGCACGTACTTACACGGCCCAGGCCAAACCCACTGTACGCGTGTGTGCTTGCGCAGGACGAGCCCTTCGCCTGCCCGCACGATGGCGCATTCCGTGAGGTTGGTGCCGTGCAGGATGTGCACCTCTCCCTCGAGAACCAGCACAAACTCATCGAACGAAGGGCACTGCGGAAGCTCTTTTGTGGCGGTGCGCACGGTCGCCACGCAAGCAGAGCAGGCAGAGTCGGCGGATGCGACGCGGCCGACGTACTCTGTGATGGTGAGGTCAGGCGCGTCGACGACGTCAACGGGCTTGACGATGCGGATGCCGGCGGTCATGCTGCAGATAGGGTTGAGCGGGGCAAGAGCTCCTTGAACGATATCGGTGTCGAAACACCGCTCTGACAGCGCTCACAGCTGTGCTCCTCTTAGCACGAGCGCTTCCAAGAAGTGTCCGAGAAGTTCGTTTCATTTCGGTTGCGCACAGACTTTCTTCTTGGTATAGGAGAGGTGAGATCTAGAGGTGATGAGAGCGGCGTTCCCTCCAAGAGGTGTCCGAAGTTCGACAATCCGCGATTCGTTACATTTCGGCCCCCCCCCCCCCCCCCCCGGGGGGGGGGGGGGGGGGGGGGGGGGGGGGGGGGGGGGGGGGGGGCCTTGGGGCCCCCCTGGGGGGGGGGGGGGGGGGCTCTCCCCTCGGGGAGATCCCCCCCTTTTTAAAGGGGGGGGGGGGGGGGGGCCCCAAAAAAAAAAACCCCTTGGGGGCCCCTTTGGGGGGGGGGGGGGCCGAGGGGGGGGGCGGGGGGGGGGGGGGGTTGACCGGGCGGGCGCCGCCTCATACACACACATGGGCGCGGAGAAGGGGGTCGCGGGGCTCGAGAGGCAGCTCTCCGAGATATCGGACGCACTCGCGCGCGCCGCCGCTGAGCAAGAGGAGGCTGAGTCTCGGAGAGGGCTGCAGAAGCAGGAGCGGCCGTCGCAGCCTATCGACGTGGAGACCGACGCTCTCACACGCGACACCGCTGAGCAAGAGGAGGCTGACTTGCGGAGACGCAGCGAGCAGGAGTCGCAACCTGTCGGCCTGCCTGAGACTGACGATTGGACTCCATGCCCGATGTGCCGGGGTCGTGGTCGGTACGAGACGGCCTCGGCAGTGAGCGTGGACTGTCCACAATGTGAGAGCAGCGGCGCCTTGAAGGGGTTGTGGACGAAGTGCTCGAAATGTTCCGGCCTGGGTCTGTTCAATGCGGTCGGAGGCAGCCGAATGCGCTGCGACGCGTGTGATGGGTCGGGGGCGCTGCCTGGCTTGGACTGGTGCCGTTGCTGGGCTTGCTCCGGCCTCGGCATGCCAGGCTGCAGCGTGTGCTGCGGGAAGGGATCGACGCAGCTCTCAAAGATTCACTCTCGCTACTTGAAGCGGGAAGCGGTTGCGGCCAGCACCGAGACTGATGCATACGGCCTGCGCTGCATTCTCTGGCCCGAGGGTGGAGCGGCGGCGTGCGGTGGCTGCGATGGCGTCGCCGTTCAAGTGGAACGGGCTTTGCAGCGGAGTCGCAGAGTAGAAACGCTCTCAGCATGTAGCTCGAGCCGTGACACGAACGAGTGTTCCATATCATTCACGTTGTTTGTTCTTTTCGATTTAGCGGACTCCTCACGGAAGACTCTCCTTATTTCAATGAGATCAGCTGCAGAGGCGAGCACGATTCAGACGCAGGACGTGAATCTTGAAAAAGAATTTTACGTCGAGAATTGAGCCTAGTTGCGTCCGTCCGCTCTATTCCAAGCACATAGCGAACGCACGAGAGAGGGGTGGAACGAGCCGTAACCCAATCCCAAGCCTAACCCAGACTAACCCGAGACTAACCCGAGACTAGGAGCCAGGGGGGTGGGAGAGTTGAGTCAGGTGCAGCAGCACCGTCTCGGCAGCGAGGCCGACGATGGCGACGGCGGCGACGTAGGCGAGACGGTGGCGAGGGTGGCGACGGTCACGATGAAGGTGGCTTGACGAAATGGATGACGCCATCGCGCAACATGACATCCTCGATGTCGTCGTCCTCTAGGCGGCGCGCAGCGCCGCTCTCGCAGGCTGTTTTTGACGGTTTCTACACTTTGTTTTTGTTTTCAGTCTAGGGGGCCCGACCCCCTCAGAGGCGGCGGGCGGGCGCCCACTTACCGAGAGATCAAAAACGCTCGGCCCGCAGGCAAGGAATGCCAATGCAGAGCTTTGCGTTAAGAGAAGGGTATATCAATGAGTCTGAAGCACACCTCCGCAAGGCCAAGGGCGCGCAGGTCAACACAGAGAGCGTGTGTGAAGAAAAGGACAGGCCCCACGGCCACCCAACGAGATCATCGTTGCGAAGCGAGCGTGTCAGCTCTTTCCGTCTGCTCTCACCAAACCGCCGACGCACAAGCCAAAGCTGTTGCAGATCGCCTTGATCCACGAAGAGTTTGCTGGCTCGATTGCCGCCTGGGGCTGTAGCTCAAGACTGCGAGCAACAGCGGATTCCACCCTCGGATCATCTCCAACCGGGTCGCAATCAGAGGTGTCCTGCGGGCTGCGCTTGCTTTCCAACGACGATCGAGGCGGGTCTGAGCGAGCCGTGCGGCGACTCGAGCGGCGCAACGAGAAGAATCTGACGATCGCGTAGATGAGGCCGCGACGGCGAGTTGGGGACGAGCTCTCTGCGCTGTTCCTGGCACTGGCCGCCATGAGATGATGGGAAAACTAGCCCGCGTCGACGTGCGTCCTTGAACATCCCTGTGTGACACGCAGGCTCGCACCGGGGAAATGCCTTGAGGACTACGAGCCGCATATCATGTACTAGTGTGGGACCTGCGGCGGTACCCGTCTCTGTTGTTCGGGCAGTGAGAGACGCAGGATCTGCACGCCAAAGTGGGCCACTCCGCATTTGCATTTTGGTTTTGGGTTGTCGGAGATCATCCATCACGCATCAGCTCTCATGTCTCATCACAGTCAGTCACGTCAGTCAAAGCAGTCGTGGCACGTGGAGCAGTCGCTGATGGCAACGGCGCCGCCACACGCTCCGGACGACCCCGACACACCGACACACCACGCACAATGGGAGGCTATCGCGCACGATCGGGCATCGCGCCGCAAACAACTCGCCGCACAGATGGGGGGGAGGCAGAATCCCACACACACCGGAGCAGCACAGACACCTTACACGTCAGCGCTCGCTCGATGTGGCCGGCGCTCTCCCCTCGGTCCTATCTCGCCTTTTCAACGGCGGCGTGCGGCCACGCGCCGCGCCGAGCCGGTCTCGGCGGGAGACCTCGGAGCCGCACGCGATGCGGGCATGCGCGATGGCTCCGTTGGCTCCGTGCCTAAGGCAGATCGATTAGGGTGTGAGCTGGGCAGCCACCGTTTCTGTACCCGCTCGATCACGTGCAGGCCGTCGGAGGCCGCGCTGGATGGCCCAGGGCCGGCGGCGGTGAAGGCGTCCGTCGATGAAGGGATGTCGTCGAGGGAGCCATCGTCCTCCGCGGATGGTGCACCGGTCCAGTTGTCGGAGTCCGAGATCGCAGTCGACTTGGAGAGATGATCGGCCCGTTGACGAACTCACGGAATGTGAGCGACTTGGTGCACGCTGGGTCGAGCATCATGACTCGCACCTCATCCTGGGCGAGGAACTCGCCCAGGGACCAGCTGTTGGCGTCGCCGGTTTGATCGAGCTGCATCCACTGCATGGTTTCGTAGTCAAGCGTAAACGCCCAGGAGTTGGTGCCTGGGTGACTTGCTGATGAGAGCGCCTTCCAGGCGGGTAGTCGTGCCCCTCACCTACGTTCATACGGCGGCGTCAGAGGGGGGGAAGGGGCGCGAAGCGTGAACATGGAGGCAAGCAGGTGGTGGCTGCACCTGGCCAAAGCCGGCGACCTCGAAGTTGTCGTAGCTTGTGCGGATATCCAGGAGTTGGTGCCTGGGTGACTTGCTGATGAGAGCGCCTTCCAGGCGGGTAGTCGTGCCCCTCACCTAAGGTCATACGGCGGTGTCAGAGGGGGGGAGGGGCACGAAGCATGAACATGGAGGCAAGCAGGTGCGCTGCACCTGGCCAAAGCCGGCGACCTCAAAGTTGTCGTAGCTTGTGCGGATATCGCTGAGCGTGAGAGGGACCGGATCGGCAGCAGCATGGGCGGCCGCGTCAGCGGCCGGAGAGGCCGGAGAGCCATCCGACGGAGGCCGGTCGTGCATCGGCGCGTCAGCCGCAGGGGGCGGGGGGGCGGCGGCATCCATCGCTGCGGGTCGCTGGGGGCCGACGATTGTGGACTGATCGATCGTGGCGGGCGGATTTTCGGCTGGGACGTTCTACGTTAAAAGAGCGTCGGCGCCGACACGAGAGACTTATAAGGGTAGATTACCAAGTGTGGAAACCCAATGAGGGTGGAGCCCACTATACCCAGTCCATTGGGCTCTCTCTTCTTTGCGCGGACTGCGCGAACCGTCTCAGGCCGGAGGCGGAGAGAGCGCCCCTTACCCCCGCCTTAGCCCTTTTGTCTGTGCACCCGCAAATGGTTGGGTAGTAGGGCTAGAGGGTCGCTCTACACTTAGCCTCTGCAGCGAGCGAGCGCTCAACTTAGCCCCCAAACGGAGCCGGGCTCGGACTTAGACGCTGTATGGTCGGGGGCCATGAACTTAGACGACATAAGGCCAACTCCGGGCAAAACCCGGGTATACCTGAAAAGCCTCCAGGTTTACCCGAAAATACCTGCACGCGTCCCACCAACGTATGCCGCGTATGCCGCGCACGACGCCATATCGCCTTCTCCCAGGGCCAGTGCGCTACTTGCGGCGCGCAACGCCTGCTCAAGTACCCCCCCCACCATGTGCTGCCGCTATGCGTGCCTTAAGGCGGCTGCGGCGAAGCGGCGGGCGCGGCATGCCGATGGCAGTGCGGACGATGCGGTTGCGATGTGTTCTGCTTCAAGATCGTGGCGGTGCTTGGCATGCACTTCTGCGATCCCAATCAGCTCATCGCAACGAAGCAGCGCAACAAGCTGGCTGCTGCCAACAAGGCCCTATGCTACCTCACGCGCGGATCGTTCAAAGAGGACCAGCACACACAGGCTTCACCGTCACGCGTTTGATTAAGCTTGAGGAGCTTCGTGTCATGTGAGAACTGTTTGGCTAGACGTCGCTCAAGAATGAAGGAGCAGCAACGAAAATCGGAAGAGGAGGATGCTGAGGCGGCGATTGCTAAGCATGAAGAGGATCCATCGCCCTCCGCGCTCCGCAGGCGAAGAAAATTTGGGGGCTGCGCCGTATCGTTGATCACGGTGGGAGCCTCCTGGCCCCAGGCCGTGCCACGGCCGACTTAGCCGATGTAAGAGGCTCCCGCTGATCTTAGACCGCGCAAGCACTCCAGCGTGGCTAGCCACACTTAGACCCGTCCAGCCTCGAGGCTCAGAACTTAGACTACTACCCAACCAGTCACCCGCATGCCATGCGACTTGCGAGGCTGTCACAGCACGCACCTAACGTAGGGCGCCGTCGCCGCGTGTAGGATCCCAGGGTACGATACGCGCGCATTGCACACCATTCGTTAGACGAGACTTAGAGAGACTTGACGCGCTCGCGCACCGCGCGCGCTTCGTCCTTCGACGTTTTCGAGCTCTCGAGTCTCGTCGACGTCGTCTCTCCGTCTCCGAGAGAAGAGACCTCTCGCCGCAAATTCTCTCGCAGGCTATTTGGTTTAAACACTGAATGCCACACGCCGGCGCAGAGAACTAGCTTGCGTCGAGAGCGGGGCAGATGGGCATCCGCGTCATCGCCGGGTGAAGGAGCAGAAGCAGCAGCACGATGCGCGGCTCCGAGCGCGCAAACGCTGCGCCGCTCTCGAAAGCCGTCGCCGCCACCGCGCCACCGCCGCCGCCGCCGCCGCCGCCGCCGCGCCAGACAACCTCGTGGCAGACCGAGTCGTCCCACACAAACCCCTCGGCCTCGCGCCACGCAACCTCGACCGCAGCGTCAGCCGGCGCGGAGCCTTGCACGTCGTCGTCGAGGCTCGACGGCCTGCCGATCCTGCGAGAGAGACGAGACGCGCTCTCCCAGCGCAGAGACCGGCGGGGGCGGGGGCGGGTAGGTGGGGGTTGGGGAGGCGGGTGGGTGGGTGGCGAGGGGGGGGTGGCGGGCGCTGGGTGGCGGGTGGTGGTGTGTGGTGTGGGGGGGTGTCGGCCTGTGCCTTAAGCGAGCTGCGCCCGGGTGCGGCACACGAAGCCCAACGTGCATCACCTTTGGAAGGGGGGGGGGGGGGGGCAGTGGGTGGTGTCGCGTGTGCTGCGACCGAAGACTGGCCTTGCGTGATGCGCCTGGACCCAACGGCTAGAGCATCGCAAGTTGCGGACAGCCCATGCTCTTGTGGTGTGATGAGCGGAGGCGGCGGCGCGCGCCATCCGCCCGTCTTCGGAGCGATCTCGGGCGATCTCGGGCGATCTCCGTCGATCACAGGCAATCTCGGTCGATCTCGGTCGATCTCGGTCGATCTCGCGCCATCCGCCCGTTGGTCGGTCCACAGTGCGGAGAGAGGGCGGTGCCCGGCGCCAGAGCGGAGAAGAGGGCGCCCTGGACGTACGGGTAGGTCTCCACTGCGGCCCGCACGGCGGCGCAGGTCGCCCTGTGGTGCGACGAGGAGGCGTCGAGGTGTCGGGGTGGTGCGGGGAGGTGTCGGGGTGGTGCTGAGAGGTGTCGGGGTGGTGCTGAGAGGGTGTCGGGGTGGTGCGGGGAGGTGTCGGGGTGGTGCTGAAGGTGTCGGGGTGGTGCTGAGAGGTGTCGGGGTGGTGCTGAGAGGGTGTCGGGGTGGTGCTGAGAGGGGCCCCGGAGCCATCTTTGTGGTTTGAGGTGTGTCTGGAGGTGTCTCGGAAGGCCTTAGGCGCGCCGCGCGACTCCTCGCCCCTCCGCCGCCGCGCAGCCCGCACACGTCAAACAGGTCGAGCTCGCGCCACCCGCCCTGCGGCCTCGCGATGCCCTCGGTCTGCACCGTGAAGCGCTCCAGCGCCGCAGCCGCCTCGGCGGCGAGGTCGGCGGCGGCCCCCTCGAGCGGCGAGAGGAGGCACTCGTACGCTCCGCGCGGGCGAACGCCGCCCGCCGGCGGGGGTGGCACGGCGGACAGGTACTCGACGGGATGCTGCCACGGAGCTCCGCCGCGCCACGCTCCGCTCTCTGCCGCTCGAGTTAAGACCTGCAGTCCGTGGCGGCGGGCAGCAGCGCCGGCGGCGCCGCGCTCAGAGAGCAGCAGGTAGCCGAGCGACGATGCAATCGCGGGCTCCTCAGCGTGCACGAGCGCCGCGTCGGAGAGCATCTGCCTCGCGCGGAGCAGGTCGCCAAACGAGCGGAGGTAGGACGCATGGTGGTAGGCGACTTCTGCGCTGGCCGGCTCCAGCCTGCTGGCGCGCTCGTAGGCCGCAGAGGCGGCGCGACGCTGCTCGCTCGCCCTCGCGTGGGCCGCCGCCGCGGCCGCCGGGTCGGTCGAGCCGGCAGCCTCGGACTCGAGCGCCTTGGCCGCCTGCTCGGCGTCGAGCGCCACGCCAAGGTGGTCGGCGTCGCTATCATGCTCGCGCTGTTGCGTGCCGCCGGCCGCGATGGTGACCCGGGAGGGCGCGGACGGCATCCCTGTGGCAGAAACCTGGGAAAAAGGAATTGCTACGCCCACCGCGAAAGTTGGAGCGCTGATCGCCCCCCCAAAAAATTCGCACAAACGAAAAAGAAAATAGGTAGCAGCTGGCGAGTCTTCCTCCCGCTGTGATTTTGTGTCAGCTCTGTGCTTGATCTGCCAACATACACAAAGAGAGAGAAAGAGACGCGTAGGGCCTTTACCCTTTAGGGGCCTAGAGAACACACCCCGCACTCCCTTTTCTCCCAGTAAGCTAAAAGCACTATACACAAAAGAAAACAAAAAGTTCAGTCGGCGGAGTAGCGCCCGCCGAAGACTCGCCGCGCAGGGCGCCGCAACTCGCGGCAATATGCCCGGCGACAAGCCGCAGCGGGGCGGCGAGGACAATGCCCGGCTCATACACGCCGTCGAGCTGGATCGGCCCACGCCCTCCACGGAGCCGCACGTAGACGCGGCGGCGCCTTTAGCTTCAGACGGCAAGACCTGGCCGTCACATGCCTTCATCGCAGCCGCCTCTGCCTTGCTCCTCATGCCTGCAGTAGTTCTCGCGGGCGCGTCGTACTACCTGCTTCGACCGCCGCCGCCGCCGCCCTCCCCACCGCCGCCGATCGCACCTCCGCCGCGGCTGCCACCTTCAACGCCTCAGCCGAGCCCGCCGCCGCCGCGGCCGCCATCGCCCCCGCCACCGAGCCCGTTGCCCCCTCAGCCCCAGCAGCCAGTGGTGTACCCTCCCCCGCCGGTGGTGAATGGGGACGGCCTGCTCACTCACGAGAGGTGCCACGCCATGCTCCGCGACAACTCGCACCACTTTCGGAGGATGTGGGACGAGCGGGGCTGGGCCAAGGCGGGGCCGGGCCGCCCGTCCTGCTGGGACGTGCAGCGGTTTAGCGGTGGGCAGAAGGGAGCGAGCCAGCCTGCGAGCGCCTTCTTCGACGGCGTCGCGACTGGGCGACACTGCTCTCGCACACGCTGGATGCACTTTTACAACAACAGGGACGCTGTCGTTTTCCGACGCGACGGGACGCCGGATTTCTCGAGGCGCGCGCCGGCAATCTTGGGGTTTGACGACGGCGACGGCTCGATTGGCGGGTTGTGCGAGAGCAGGGGCTGGGGCGACACCAAGCTACAGCGCTGCGTCCGCGCCAACCTCCAGATACTCAGCATCGATGCGAGTGACTACAATCTTTGTCGGAACTTGGAGTGGCAGGCTTGCGCAGCGCAAGGCAAGCTTGCGAATCAGGACGGCAACCTGATCGCGTTTGCCGCAGCACCTGGGTCTCTGCACACAGGCGGCAGCTACGGCCACCTGTTTAACCGCTGTTCCGGCTGGACTCCGACCGGCGTCGATAGCGGCACCTTTCCCACGCGGGGTACGCAAACGACGACATTTTCTACCTGGAGACGTGCCTCTTCAGCCAGATCTGCGAGAATGGCGAGGAAATTTTCTCACTGGCAGCTGGCCAGCAGTGGCGCTGCCGCTTCTCGCAGGAGAAGGTCTACGAACTGCAGCAGATCTTGACGACCCCGGTGGCGCCCGAGCCGTGGGGTGCGCCGGTGTGCCACTTCAAGCCGGGGAGGGCTGGCTGAGTGAGTGAGTCCTCGCAGATGAGAGAGAGATTAAAAAAGTCAGCCGAAACTGTACAAGGGTGTTAACCACGCCAGGGCCACCCCCTGTCCAACAGGAGGCGGCAAACCCGCACAACACGACCGGACGTTGTGGATCGTTTCGTGGATCCGCGTTTCGCGCGGCCGTGTGTGACTGTGTGTCGGGGATGTGTGTCGTGTGTGTGTGTGTGTGTGTGTGTGTGTGTGTGTGTGTGTGTGTGTGTGTGTGTGTGTGTGTGTGTGTGTGTGTGTGCATACGCTAATTACACCAGTTCGCTACCCCTTGTTGGCGGAGGGCACAGCAGCAGGACGCGCAGCAGAAACCGCACAGCTGCCGACGAGACGCGCCATCGACGTCGGTCTTTGGGGCCTGCACGAATAGCACTTGCTCGTGGGTAGGGCAGCAACCGAGCAATTTCGGACGCCGAGCCATCTCAGCAGTCTGTTGAACGTGCCAAGCGAAAAGTCTTCGAGAGGAAGGCGGAAGACCTGAGCTTGTGGCATGCGGTCAGCCCATTCGATCGCTTCCGATTGTGAGCCCACGACGCCTTCCGAAAACCACGTCCACGCCCCGTCGTGCGATGCGGGCATGTGCAGGTCGGGGTTGTCGTGCGTCTGTAGACGCATCCCGGCGGAATCGATGTTGCCTTGACGGCTCTTGGCAAAGGCGATGCGGCCGCTGCGGTTCGAGCCCCCCTCCATGACTGGCGTCGACAGGTCGCGTCGGAAGTTGACAATGACCTTGGCAGAGGGGAAGAGCGACAGCAGCCGCTCCACCGGCGGGAAGCGAATCTCCTTGAAGCCGTGGATCAACGCGGGAGGTCTGTCGCGCACTAAATTCCGAAGCCACATGCACACCAGACCGTGCGTCTCTCTCGCGTTTGGCGAGTTGGCCCAAGCCTGATGCCACGCTTCAGCGCCGGTGCCCATCCAACTCGCGTGGTCGGTCATGCTCACCGCCGCTGCGAGCAGCCCCAGCAACTGGCCATTCTCGCCTGACAGACTAATCCCGGTCACGCTGTTGAGAAGCTGCAGGATGGTCGTTGATCCAGAGTGACCAGTACAGAACACAAACACCCACTGGGTGTCGCAGGCCTGGGCCAAGGGTTTGTCCAGCGGGTCAATCGGCCCTGATGGCGAGGCCGGCGGCGGCGGCGAGGGCGAGGGCGAGGGCGGCAGTGGCGGTGGTGAAGACAAAGACAGCGTCTCAGGCTGAGCTTGAGGCTCAAGCTGCGAAGCTGCGAGCAGGAGGAGGAGGACCGCAGTGCCGGCTGCGGCGCATGCTGGGATCGCCCTCCTCGACTCTGGAAGAGCAGCCGACGACTCCGCTGCCCAATTGCCTTCGTCAAGGGCCGCGTACCGAACCGCAGGACGCGCAGGCGGCCGCTTTGGTCGCGTCTTCCGCGGCGCGCGCGTGCCGTCGCTGGGCAATGCGCGAGTCGGCAGCGGACTCATCGCGTCGGCAAGCGCCCGCCGAGGAGCATGTTCACAGCTCTTGTTATTGAGAAGAAATACGTCCTATGGCGCTGTGCGCTGGTCTGTGAGAGGTTGAGGTGTTCACAGCCTTGTTATTGAGAAGAAAATACCTCCTATGGCGCTGTGCGCAGGTCTGTGAGAGGTTGAGGTGCGAGCGTGCGAGCCCTGGAGGCCCTGGGGATTCACAGCCCCTTCGAGAGAAAGAATACCTGCGCCGCTGCGCTGCGGAGCGGGCCGAGATGCGCCTCTTTTTCTTCTGTGCCGAACAGGGGGTTCGAAGGAAAAAGAAACCACAAGTGGATCCCCGGGGGGCACGTAAAATAAACATGCACGGCGGATGCCACACACGAGGCGGCGGCGGGCGGGGTGGGGGAAGCAAGCAGCAAGGTTGTCGTACTCGACAGGATGTTGGGTATGGGACAGAGTCAGCACGGAGCGGCGGATATAGCTTGTGGCCGCCGGGAGTTGGAGAGCGCCCCTCCACTCACTGGCAAGTGCCGATCGCCGTCGCGAGGTCGCAGGCGGCCTGGCCGAGGGGGTTGTTGCTAAAGGCGCATGACGGCGCGGGCGGCGCCGTCGCGGTCGGGTTGCAGCGGCCCTGGCCGTCGGCCGTCGGGCCGCAGTCGCGCGGCTTGAGGAAGCGCGAGGCGTAGGCGTCCTCGCACTCAGCGCCCTGCGGGACCGGCAGCAGCTTGGTGGTGGCGACGCCCATCGCCTCGAGCGCCGCCTCGGCTCGGGCGACGGCCGCGGGGTCGGCCACCGGCTCGCGCGAGAGGATCCACAGGCCCGCGTTGTTGATGCCGAGCTCGCGGGGCGTGCACTTGTACGTTGACGGGTCAAACGGGCTCCCGTCGGTCGGCACGTCTGGCTGGCCGCCGCTCACCGCCACGATGGAGTACTGGCCCTCGGCGTCGGCCTCGATGTACACCGGCCAGTAGGGGCCGGCGAGGAGGTTGGGCAGGAAGCACGGCGCCACCGACAGCTTGTCAGGCTG